GCAACTTGCAGTATTCTAGGTCTGTAATAGTATTGCAATATATCGAAGGGAATTCGAACCGATCCTGACACGAATGAGGGGCGTTATTTGTTGATACAATTAAATCATATGTGAACATTTTCACGATATAAAAGTAAATATATTTTTGACTAATGAAAGACCAATCCTTACGCCTAACTATCAATCACTACGACAGTTTTGATAATTATTTGTATAAAATATTGATTTTTATCCGTTGATTCAGGAATTATTGCCTGGTTCATTAGGTTTCTCTTTTCTGGATGAACTTCCTGTTATGTCACCAGACGCCACACGAGTAGTATATAGATAATGTGATTAAGTAAATGGTGTCAGTGTATGGAATACTGTAAGGGACATTCTCGCGTTCTCGCATTCTCGCACTTTTGGCATATTTGGTTGTTTCTAAAGGTCGAGATCGCGAGTTGGGTAAATCTCGCGTTCTCGCACTTTTGGAATTTTATGCTTTTGTCATAGGCCGAGATCGCGTTATCGCGAGGATGTCCCTACAGTATTCCATATCAATGCCTTCAGAACACGTTTAGGTAGATACGCAGATGCGTATGTCACTGACCAGAGTTTTATTTGTCTATAAGTGAGTTCGTGAGTAATTATGGTTGTAGGCCTCTCGTAGCAGTATTCCAGCAATATCACGGGGGATACCACAAACGGACTTGACACATTGTACCCACGTGTAGAATCGAACCCGGGCTTTTGGTGTGACGAGCGACCGCCTTAACCACCAGGCTACCCTACCGCCAATGCAAGAAAGCGTATCACGTTCAGCCTCCCCGTGCCCGCCCCCAAGGGAATGCCTTAATAAGTCCCTATAAGGACCATGCAGTGGTAGTAGTAGGCTCACCAACCAGTAGTCACTGCCGCTATGACGCGCTCAACCAGGGAGGGACTTCCTATAGCATCTATAGCCCTGTCAATGCGGCATCCTTAGTCCTGTTAAGGCGGCATCTGTAGCCAAGTCAATGCGGCATCATTAGTCCTGCAATGCTGCATCATTAATCCTGTCAATGCTTCTGTAGTCAAGTCAAGACAGATTTGGTGATTTTGGAAGGAAACATCACTGGACAGCATTACATTGACCATTCTCTATACCCTGTTGTACTAACCGTCAGATTAGAGCACGACCAGGTCGCCCTTATAACAAGGATCAGTTAGAACAGGCCCTCTGAGAGGAATGGTGTTGAATCCCATTTCTTGTGATCAGACGTATCACATCTATTCTCATGGTCGAGGTCGGCCGTCCATTGATTCCTGTGGTGGGAATACACAATACAGACTGACAATTGTAACATTCTGGAGGATTAAAGGGAGTTTCGTGTGCTGATTTCAGTCTTGATGGTTGATCGAATACTGAACAAGTGACCCCATCCAAACTGTGGCCACAATATCTTCTTTTTTTGGTTCTCATTCACTGCATAGCTTGTAATGATGTTGATATACAATTGATGCCTGTTGACAATATATATATATATATATATATGTTTATGGTGTATTTATTCCCAAGCAAGGGGAAATAATACTTAATCGGCATTTCACATCACAGTCAACAACTGTCATATCACAGCGGGACAAGTGGAGTCAATAACCTTGACTAGGACACTTTCATGATATGACATCTTGAAATGGAAATGACTATTAATAGATAAGTGCCACGGGCATAGTGTCTGTCATGCTCATATCTCGATGTCAAAGATTATGGCTTTGTTCGCCAAATACAATGTATTGATGAGGATAGCAATATTGTGGTCGAAACTTATTATTACCGAGGTGTAGGCAATGAAGATGTCATCCCAATATGACAGACGAGTGAATTCCCTTTCTCCTCACGTGTATGTCATCCACAGGACATTTAGTGAAATTATGCTATTCCATAAGTGTTGACATTTAGACCCGTGAACATCAGGGGTAGAATAGGTCTTCAGCAACCCATGCTTGCAGGCGACGATGCTTGTCGTAGGAGGCGACTAACGGGATCAGGTGCTCAGGCTCGCTGACTTGGCTGATGCATGTCATCGATCCCATGATGCTCATGATATCATGCTCATATATAGTTTTTGTTCTTGTTGCATGTTCAAACTGGTATGTAAGCAAATAAACAGTCGCGTACCATCAACCCGGGAAAGGGCCTCCCTACATAAACAAACATACAAACTCCTACTGCTGCCATGACCATAACACGAGATGCACAGTAAAGCAGTGTGCATGTAAAGGGAAGTAACTGCATGCTATACTGGATCGTAGTTTGCTTTTGCTATCATTCACAGGTGTCCATTCACATAATTTTCACTGCTATTTTGCTTTCTATGCCCAATGGAATCTTGTTTCGGTGGATAATCAAAACCTTTTCTTATCAAGCTGTGATGTTTTTTATTATCTAGTCTGCTGTAATATAGCCGGAATAAACATACTGTGGGTTTGAACAGCATTTCCTCGCTAGCTGTATGTGTTGGCTTGTGTTGCTGGGCCTGCCAGTGAAGACGTATGAAGCTGTTTACCCCATACCAGTCAGAAAGTCCAAGTGTTGTTTTCCTGGTGTTGACTAACAAGAAGAGGCTTCAGTTAAAGGGGCATAACTCTCTTTGCTAATGGCTGAATTTGTGTGTTTGTCATATGAGAGTTAGTATGGGTTTCCGGCGGTTTATGCCGTTTATAAAGTGGGGGGACACCAGAAACAGGCTTCAAACAGGGCGGACGCTCTACCACAAGACCACGGAGGCGGTCTATATACTATTAGCAAGTAGCCAATATTCCGTCAAACAAGTCATCAATTTGTAACGGCCTAAACGATCAGTTTCCTTGTCAATATGGCTCCCCACACACTTTCCTCATCGCGTGTTGTCCTTTACATAAATAGAATTGTAATTGTTTATTTTTACAGGAAGTGAGGGCCATGAATATCACAATTTCACTTGACATCCTTGAAGATTTTCCGGATCTGTTATCTACATTCCTAGATATCACATATACCTTATTCATGCCTCATACCCGTGGTGTCAAGTTTGCAAGTGAATGCATCAGCGGTTACCGGCACACGTTGTACACATGTCACACAAACGTTGAAGGGTCCTGAACAGACACAAACGTTGAAGGGTCCTGAACAGACACAAACGTTGATTGGTCCTGAACAGACACAAACGTTGATGGGTCCTGAACAGACACAAACGTTGATGGGTCCTGAACAGACATAAATGTTGATGGGTCCTGAACAGACATAAACGTTGATGGGTCCTGAACAGACACAAACGTTGAAGGGTCCTGAACAGACACAAACGTAAGTGCACGAATGTTAAATAAATGTACTGATTTTCCAATTACTTATGAGTTGCCACGTTAGAAGGTCGAATTCATGGCTAGGCATATATATTTACAATTACCATCTTTCTTCTATTTTATATTCACTATCATTAACGGGTAAACAGCCCTCTTACGTTTCTGTATGGCATTAAAGTGTCTCATTATCTCCACTGTATCTGTTTCGGTGAGTGAGTGAGTGAGTGAGTTAGTATGGTTTTACGCCGCTTTTAGCAACATTCCAGCAATATCACGGCGGGGGACACCAGAAATGGGCTTCACACATTGTACCCATGTCGGGAATCGAACCCGGGTCTTCGGCGTGACGAGTGAACGCTTTAACCACTAGGCTACCCGACCGCACCTGTTTCGGTGAGACCCTAAGGGTTCTCGGACACCCATATCGCAATGGCAAAACGACCACATGACATCAGATGAGGTGAATTGGGGTTTAACGTTGCATTCAATAGTATTGCATTTATATAGCGATGTGCGTATACGTGTATGTGTGCGTGTCTGATTGTACTAGTCCAGACTAATGCGAGGTTTATGATGTGAGCCCACTAAGATACAACAGTTTAACACGGATACCCCACTCAGACGTAGTGTACCGACTCCGAGCCGGCCAGTCCTTGTTTTAGCCCCTTAATGCCGAGCGCCAGACAGGGTAACAACAAGTACCATCTTTTATCTCTTGGTATGACGCGGCCGGGGATCGAACCACCGACTTTAAGCTCTCCGGGCAGAGGCACTACCTACTACACCACGGAGGCGCTCCAGAGATTACGTGAGCATATGCAGGACTTTCATCTACCCACTGAACAGTAATAATTGCCCAGTCACCATAGCAACCTAAGTGTTTTAATAACTACCCGTCAGAGTAACTACAATACATAGATAACAATACAGTAAACTACGTTTATAACGAACATGCTTATAACGAACTGATGGGTATAACGAACATATTTTTAGTCCCGGCCATTTGATGTATATGTGCTTACGAACTACGGTTATAACGAACTAAAATTAGTGGTCCCTTTGAGTTCGTTATAACCGTAGTTTACTGTACATAAGTAATACATAATAAAAATAAATAATTATGCAAGAATTCAAAATGGCTGAAGGCGGTGAAATGGGGTTATTCGTCGCGTCCAAGATCATTGCACTTATATTACACACACACACAAAACACACACACACACACACACACACACACACACACACACACACACACACACACACACACACACACACACACACACACACACACACACACACACACACACACGAGCGCAATTATCTTGAACGCGACGTTGAACCCCATTTCACCTCACTTCACCCCGTAACATGCACGTCATTATGTACACGGTATACATGACATAACTTGTCAACAGGCTCGCCCCTTACCATGAGAAGTACTATTCATGGTCTTTACTGTCAAATGTTGGTCACGTATTCTAATAACGAGACACCCGTGAAGATCCGGTGTAGACTACGGGTTCAGCAACTCATGCTTGCCGTAAAAAGCGACCAACGGGATCGGGTGGTCAGGCTCGCTGACTTGGTCGATGCATATCATCGTATCCCATTTGCATAGATCGATGCTCATGACGTGTCACTGGATTGTCTGGTCTAGACACGATTATTTACAGACCGCCGTCATATAGCTGTAATACTTTCGTGTGCGGCGTTAAACAAACAAACAAACAAACAACGACACGTGTATCCAACCTTTTTTGCCTGAGCTCACATCCTGAACCCTCTTACATATAAGATCATCTAACACAATATCATGCTCAGTCCTATGACCTTATCAAGGTAACAACAGATCCATACTGTATACTGCACAACATAGCACAGCAGTACTTATTGACGCAACCTTTACACCAATACTACAACGAAAACTCAACCCTATTGATACCATGTTTTCATGTTGCAACAGGCTAAAACCTACTATTTCAAACTTTAGAATTGCCAACACAAAGGCGTTTTAAAAGCATGCATATAACGATTTCAATGCACTGCCTTCTATCAGCAACGTGTGTCTCACACGTGCATAGATATCATCGTAACTCACTGTCAGTAGAGACGGCAGATTGTGTACGGCTCAGGTATGTCGTTTATATTTTATCTAGTGTAAATGTATTAAAGTTTCTACTTACTATTGACGATGCCATACTATTCTGCCTCACCTGACTCTTTATCTGTCATTGTTGCATATATGCAGTGTACATTATTATAAGAGTAACTAAATGATGCGTGACACGGTGACAGTGTCCATGAGCTTCGTTTATCATCACAGCCAATTGAATAGATTAATTTCTTTTCATTCTTTGTCATTCATTCCTGCCCATGTCGCGAACACGTTGTGTCAACACTAAATTTCACTGATAGATTCATATAATTTTCATCACTATTTTGCCTTTTACACCTAATGGACTCGATAATCGAGACTGGTAATTATTCTCTTTTTTATATTTCTAAATAATGGTATTAATATTTTAAACACTTAATTTACAGGTATTAACGCAATGAATGTCCTACGTCACAACATCAATGCAATACGAGCATTAACGTCAGATTCCATCCTCCATAATGAATGCAGAGAAGGGAACCTTTACAATGTGAGAAAACTATTGACCACGAATGCAGTGAACGTCAACAAACGAGGCCTGTATGGCTGGCCACCACTTTTGACAGCAGCATGGTGTGGAGATACAGACATGTTGGACTGCATCATGAACAAAGGGGGTGACGTGTCAGTGGTTGATTACGGCGGTGACAACATCCTTCATGTGGCCTGTAACGGAGGGAATGAGCATATGGTTAACTACGTCTTATCCATGGACATCGTCGACGTTAACAGCAGAGGACAATGCGGAAGGACACCAGTGATGGTGGCAGCATTAGGTGGACATCAGAGAATGGTGACTATACTGTTGAATGAAGGCGCCGATTTATCCTGCGTTGATGACGAGGGTAGTAGTATGCTCCATGTTGCATGCTGTGGAGGTGATGTTGAGACGGTGAAGTATGTCCTGTCGAGAGGATATACGCGTGTGGATGGAAGGAATCGCAACGGCTGGACAGCATTGATGTGTGCAGCATGGGCCGGACAAAGGGGTGCATTTGATGCGCTTGTGAGTGCAGGATGTGATGTATCAGCGGTTGATAACAACGGTAATACAATCCTTCACGTGGCTTGCCTTGGGGGTAATGTTGATATTGTGAAATATGTCCTCGTTGACATCAGTGATGACGTAAACTGCAGGGGCCAATATGGATGGACACCGGTGATGATAGCAGCAGGGCGAGGGTACAGGGGCTTGTTTGACTTTCTTGTGAGTAAGGATGTTGATCTGTCACTCGTTGGTGACGATGGTAACACCATCCTTCACATGGCATGTCTTGGTGGGGATGTTGAGATCGTGCAATATGTTCTCAGAGAGATACAAATGGACATCAACGTGGCAGGCCATGAAGGAATTACCCCGGTGATGATAGGAGCCAGGACGGGGAATCAGCTATTATTTGATCTACTTGTAAGTAAAGGAGCCGATGTGTCCATCATTGATCACCACAGGAACAACGTCCTTCACATGGCCTGTACAGGAGGTGATGATGTTATGGTCACAGACATTCTCCTTCTGAAACAATTCAGCATCAAGAGTAGAGGACAAAACGGGATGACGCCAATCATGTTCGCATCCCGAAGGGGACACGTGGGTGTGTTTGACGTGCTACTGAGCCAAAAAGATGATGTTTCAGTCAAAGATGATGATGGTAACAACATCCTCCATCTGGCAAGTCTTGGTGGTGATGATGCCATGACACACCATGTCCTCATCGAGACCTCCATTGACATCAACAGTAGAGGCAAGTTGGGCCGAACACCGGTGATGCTCGCAGCACAGTGTGGACACAAAGGTGTATTTGATGTTCTTTGGAACACAGGAGCGGACGTATCACTTTTCGATGATGAAGGTAACACCGCCCTTCATCTGGCCTGCTCGGGTGGGAATGATGAAATGGTACATTACATTCTTTTACATACCAAATTTGATGTGAACAGTAGAGGCAAGTGCGGAAGAACTCCAGTGATGGTGGCAGCAGAGTTCGGGCACAGAGGAGTCTTTGATATTCTTCTGAGACAAGGCTGTGATCTATCACTGATTGATGATGACGGTAACACCATCCACCATGTAGCCGCCATTGGCGGGCACGTGGACGTTATGAAATACCTTGTCTCACAGGACATTGAGGGTGCAAACGCCAAGAATAACCATGGGTCAACGGCAGCTATGATATCGAGTGAAAGACAGTGAGTGTATCAGTTATACTGAGAACAGAGTGATTTTGGAGAAATGGGTATGGTGCTGACATAATCAGGTCGAATCTTGAATTCGAACCCTCGATCATGGCTTTCTGGCACGCCTAAGGGACGCAACCCTCAATAGGGAATTGCGCCACCGAAGACGACTGGGCCACCTACCTAACAGTAGCGAAAATAATTCACTTACCGGTACACATACGAAGATAGAGTGCCTCTTAATTTATCCTTACCATAACGATATGCTCATACGATTGGACAATCAGAGGTTTCAAATCACAACAACCTCTGATAAGAACATCTAATTCGACAGCCACATCACCGTGAAAGCTAACGTTTATAGAAAAATACATTGTACTCCTTTCTCGATCGTTTTAGGTAGGTAGTTTCAAATAGTGATGTCGAACGCTGTTACTCGCTTTTAGGCAGGAAATATGACGAATATCTGACATCATATGAATTGCTTCACAACGCTGAGGCACTCCATTTTACAGTTGCACCTCAAATTCAGTTTTCCATTGTCAAATCTACAGTTGACATACCTATAGCTCGATGTTGACAACAGATATGTTTATTCCCCAGTTAATGAAGCAGCAGTTACTTTTAATAATGTAGCGATATGATAATTCTGTCTTTAGATATATTTTCTGTGCCATTAAATGTTTCAAATACACGCTATTGTCATGTTTATTGTGGTTCAAACAAATTGATGGGCACGTTGGCTAAACTGAAACAAGCAAGAAATGTTTATTGGATGGTGATGCATTTCATACAGGTATCATTGTTGTGTTTTGGAACTAATGCTTGCAGTGATTCAGCGACTGTTTTCAGCCAGGTAACTTTTTGATAACGTTTGCAATTTGTTGGTCAAATCCAAGTGTCTCCTTTCTTTTGTCAGGCAGTGTAGTTGTATGTAACTTCATCCCACATGTATGGTATGATTTATAGTGGATCTGTGATATTTACTCTACTGTTTATGATTTTCATGAATGCTGAAGCGACTAACGGGTTGTCAGTCTCGCTGACTTGGTTGATGCACGTAAGCGTATTCCAATTGCGTAGATTAATCCTCATGATGTCAATTACTGGATTGTCTGGTCCATACTCGATTATTTACAGACCGCCGTCATATAGCTGGAATAGTGCTCAGTGCGGCATTAAACAACAACCAATCAACTGAATACTGCATGGACTCTCGGTCGTGGTCTGGGGCAGCTGCAACACGGAGCGACCAGGGCCCCGTTCCTCAAAGCGATCTTAGCGCTACGATGATCGTAAACCTATGTTAGAGTATGGGACTTACGATCACCTTAGTGCTAAGATCGCTTTGTGGAACGGGGCCCAGGGCCACGTCCCACAAAGCGAGCTTAGCTCTATGATTGTCCTACGTATATGTATAAGTATTGGAGTTGTGATCGTCTTAGTGCAGATTTGTGTCTGTCTGTAGGGTAGTCGCCGCGATGGCTGTTCAACATGACAATGGTTGAACAGGCTGTAAACATGTGAAATCAACTGACCAATGTCAGAGTGTATTTTGTTGTTCATTTAGGTGAACGTTCAAACAGAACTTCTTGTACAAATAATGATCTCCCAGACGTCTTGGGAACGGTCCTAATAGGTTTAAATTTTTACAATGAAATTCTCTATCTGCATTCTGAACCAGTGTTATAAAACTTTCGGCATGCTACATTCTTCACCCACAAAAGTTATGAGTATGGATGTTTTGTTTGTTTGGTTTGTTTGTTGTTTAATGCCGCACTCACAATATTCCAGCTATATGACGGCGGTCTGTAAATAATCGAGTCAGGACCAGACAACGCAGTGATTGATATCATGAGCATCGATCCACGCAATTGGGATCGATGACCGTGCATCAACCAAGTCAGCGAGCATGACCACCCGATCCCGTTAGTCGCCTTTTAGGACAAGCATAGTCGCCTTTTACGGCAAGCATGGGTTGCTGAAGACCTATTCTACCCCGGATCTTCACGGGTCAACACAAGGCAACAGTGTAACTTGTAGGACAGGCCCTCTACACAAATGTGGTGAGATTTTACTCCCGCTTCTGAGCTGTCGACTTATAGTGCGGGGCTGTGTCAAGGCGGTACTTTGGTGTTCTCTACAAGACACGTTCGTTTCCATATATCCTTTGTATAGACAATGCTGTTTATAAATGACTCTGTTTTATATCTCTGTATTAAGTTCGCGCGGATGTTATGGTATGCCTGAAGTGATGCGTCTCTGTTCACTTTCTTCATATGTTGTATTAATACGCACTCGTGGAAATGGTGTAATGTTTTCGTAATTAAGTAAACTTCAGCGCTGGTAGCAAATAGGACATATAATTAATATAAATAATTCTTATTTCACATGGTGTTTAATATAATAATTTCCATTTATATTTTTGTCCACTCGACAATACTACTGTGAAACAGGAGTCGTGTCGTGTCAGGCAGGTCTTAGAGGTGATTAGAGGTGAGGTGATTAGAGGTGAGGTGATTAGAGGTGAGGTGAGGTGAGGTGAGGTGAGGTGAAATGAAATGGGGTTTAACGTCGCGTCCAAGATTTATTGCACTTATATAGCGCGTGTGTGTGTGTGTGTGATTATCGTGCTTGATTCATAAGTGAGACGTGTGTGTGTGTGTGTGTATATATATATATACTGCTCTACAGTAATATTTTTTGTAGTTTGCTTATATATATATATATATATATATTATATATATATATATATATATATATATATATATATATATATTTTCAAAAATCATCTTCATCAGATGAAAAAAGTGGAAGTCAGTAGGTCAGTAAGTCAGCCACGGTGTCAGTGCGTCGTAATACATGTACTTAAAGTATAGGACATCAAAATGACCGACGCGATAAACATGAAGGAATGAAGTATTGTTATGAACCTTTGTCGATAACAATTGTTATCACTGATGTCATCAATGATCATTTGGTCGATTGGAAGGTGATTAGAAAGATGTGGCAAATAGATATTGAGGTATTCATAGATTGCTGTCAGCGTTCACTGTAGTCTAGACACGGGTCGAGTCAACCATACTTCGGAATGTGCATTTCTTCGTTTGGACCCGTGAAGATCCGGGGTAGAATCGATCTTCAGCAACCCATGCTTGTCGTAAGAGGCGACTAACGGGATCGGGTGGTCAGGCTCGCTGACTTGGTTAATGCATGTCATCGTATCCGAATTGCTTGGGGGTGGGGGGGTGGGGGGATGGGCGGTCGGGTAGCCTAGTGGTTAAAGCGTTCGCTCGTCACGCCGAAGACCCGGGTTCGATTCCCGACATGGGTACAATGCGTGAAGCCCATTTCTGGTGTCCCCCGCCGTGATATTGCTGGAATATTGCTAAAAGCGGCGTAAAACCATACTCAGTCAGTCAGTCAGCCAATTGCTTGGATCGATGCTCATGATGGCAGTCACTTGAGTGTCTGGACCAGACTCGATTATTTACACACCGCCGTCATTTAGCTTGAATATTGCTAAGGGCAGCATTATACAACAAACAACAACACTACGATGGGTCGTAGCGAGGATAATCGGGCACACGGACAGGCTTCCAGTCACACTCTCAGACTTTCCCAATGTTTGCTAAAACGCTGAGTTCAACATTCAAGGATGTAAATGATCTGAAACAAGCTGTTGTGCGTATTTGTGCTGGAAAACGGCGTGGAAGGGATGCACCTGATTTTGATTTAGGGGGCATAAAGTGAATTCACTCTTCTCGTTCTCTCAGTGACCTTGCCCTCACGTCTAATACCTGCATCACCTCGGACGTTCCTCCCACATCAAGCTGTGATATAACAAAAAATAATTTCAAGCGGATTTACCCTAAACTTACTCACTAAATGACTAATAGTACTGTTTCAATTTTGTTATAACATCATTTAGAAGAGAAGGGTGTGCATGTAACAGCAAACATACACAAGATGGTCCGTTATTCGGATATATATCAGTAGTGGCCATTGTTCACGTCAATAGCCTTTAATCATGATTTGACCTAAGACCACCAACCCTCGCATCTGCAGGTCAGCACCGTATCAATACAACTACACAGTGAGAGTTGTCATCCTCATAAATATTTTGACCTGCAGTAGAATCGGCGAGGTGCCAAAGGACCAACTGTGTGCGCCTATTAATCGGCTCCATGAGACGCTCCCGTGGAATCTGTCCACACGGGTGTACGTAAACTACGAATTACTATTTTCTAAAACACTGAGTGACATTGTGTTACCTTGCCATGACGCCACTATACTCATTAAAATTAACACGTGCAAAAGTAACGTTTATCTTTGGTAATCCCCTCAACACGGTGTCACAGAACTTTCCAGACGCAGTTAAGGCTATTGTCAGCCTCATTTCATGGCACAAAACCTTCCAGATTTACAGTAACTACGGTAATTTATCATGAAGTATAATCTGTCCAATCCGAACTTTCTTCACACCGGATTCCGGACTGAATGTTGGGGGTTGTATTGACACAAGATGTATTTTCAGCTACACCCGAAAACCCCGATTTTCTTTTAATCAAAACTGTGAAGTAAATATTTATTTTTAAAAACAAAAACAAAGCAACCTGTTTTAAAAAACATCAAAAAACAATCTTTAATGGCAGACAAAATCTTTTCAACTGTTTGATGCATAAAAATTTGTTTCATGCATCTTCTGGGACAAATAATTTTTTTCGAGAAAATCACTTAAGATTTCACGCATTGCCCAACGTGACCACTTTTATGTGTCAGTAATAATTCTATTGGATGTATTCATATGTAATGCGAGACACCTACATGTAGTATCAGAGGTCACTGATAACCTGGGTCGAATACTTCATTCTGTGATTGTTCATAGATAATAGACGTCAGGTACACAATTATCAGAGTTGAGACTACCAGTCATGGACTAGCACTATATCGTTCTCAGTTTCTATAACTCCACCTTGTTATACCAGGAATATGGATCGTGTTTTTGTTGTTGTAATAGTGCTTATTTCATGTCAACTACATTCCCTGAGATGCGACGATGGAATCATTATAAACAGCGATGAAGCATACGATGGATCTTCTGTAACAGGAGGCCCGTCTTCTCAAACAGTCAGTTCTCGTCAGGATTCGTCGACATACAGCGAGATAGTCTCACATAAAGAAACAACGCATTATCCGTCTTCGGAGAAAGGAACCGATGTGACGACATCAAACACTGTTGGAATTAAAAGACCAAGCAGCCAGGTGCCCCTTAAGAAGAACACAACAACGGCTTCAGTTTTAAACAAACAAACAGTTACCGTACCCATCAGTGAAAGTCATGGTCCACATGTGGCTGTACCTTCTGCGGCAACAATTAGCATCAACCCACTTGCGGCGATGCTCGGACAGCTGCTGCAGAGTCCCCAAGCTAACACTATCCTTGGACTAATATTTGGCCAAAATCATACCGATGAACTGGCTCAATTGTTGAGCCACCTCACATCTTCAAGTCAAGGTGGACTGAGTCAAGAAGGACTGTCTGAGCTTCTCAACAACCCCGAAGCACAGGCAGTTATGAAGCAAGTATTTCAGCATGGATCTGTTGGAAACATGCTGAAAACGTTATTACCAAACATGCTCCCTGTTCTGAACGATATCACGCCGGCTCAACTGTTTCAAGCTGTTGGAAACATGGTCACTGGTTCGGGAACAGGCGGACATTCGAGCAACGGGGCAATTTTTCAGGCGATTATGTCTGCCTTACCATCAATAGCAGGATCTTCGGTGAGTGCAGTTCTGAAAAATTTCGGCGTTGACGTTAACGCCACTGACGTTATGAAACAGATTGCAGAACTTGTGTCTTTGTTCCGTGAGCAAGGCAACATCACTGCGCTGCAAGAGCTTGCCGTCAATGCAACTGGACCTGCTGGCATGATGCTCGATGTTTTACCATTGGCCAACAGCCTGGGGCAGATGATGAATCCAGAAACGGTGTCAGATGAGAATATATGTCTTGCTGATTTCAGTGCCTACATCCAGGGACTTCTTACGAAACAGATGTGGGCCATTAAAAGTAAGTGGGTGAGTGTGTATGGTTTAACGCCACTTTGAACAGTATTTCAGTAAAGTCACGGCGTGTCAGCTTGATGTGGGAGGCTGACCCGAAGCAATGCAGGTCTAAAAGTCGTAAGCACGGGTATGGCGCTGAAATAATCAGGGAGCAGTGGAACGCAAGATTCACAGGTCTCAGGTAACGCCAAGTGGGCGTAACTCTCCACAGCGATGCCTTTGGCTACTTGGCCACTCACGCTCCTTTAAGAATATGATATAAGCTAAATGAGGGGACGTCAAGATAGGTTTTATGAATTAGTGAGTGAGTAAGTTGGGTTTAAAGCCGCTTTTAATAGTATTCCAGTTACATCGCGGCGTGTCAGCTTAATGTGGGAGGAAAGCCCGAAGTGATGCAGGTCTCAGACGTTTACCACTTTGGTGAAACCCACGAGCATGGGTATGGTGCTGACAAACCTAGAAACATTATCAGGGCGAACCGGGATTCGAACCCACAATCATAGGTTTCTGGCGTGCCCAAGCGACGCAACTCTGCACAGCGAATCGCGGCGCCTCGGACGACTGGGCCACCCTTGCCCCCTTTTATGAATTAAATTCTACATTCATTATTGACATGGACAAAAAACAGTTGTTATTACTTCAAAGGGGTTAAAAAGGAGTTCGTTACATGAAATTGTATTGTTGTGATGTAAATTTTATATTCTCCATATGAAAGACATGCGCAGTTGTGGAAATGTTTTACAACGCTTTTAACATTATTTTTATTTTCATATTTTGTCAAAATGTTTCATCGCAACGAAATGCCATGCCCCAGGGTGATACAATTGACAGACCTACTGGGGACAGGCATAGGATCATCACTCAACCGAATATGGGATTCGATCCCACGACCAACGGGTGTTGTATCTGTGCAGTGTCTATATCGCTTTTTTTCCATGTTTGTTTTTTAACGCCGCATTCACCAATTCCAGATACATTGTAAATAAATAATGGAGTCTGGACCAGACTACATTGTGACTAACATCATAAGCATCGATCTCCGCAACTGGGGCACGATAACATTCATCAATCAAGTCAGCGAACCTGACCACCCAATCTCGTCAGTCGCCAAGCGGGGGTTGCTGAAGACCAATTCAAACCCGAGTCTCTATTACGGGCGTTTAATCCACTAGGCATCTAGACTGTAAAAACATTCACTGTGGCCTTCTATCTTGTTTCAGTGCTTGATGCATCTGGAAAGCCAGGTAGGAGTATCTTGAAAGGCGCTTTACAGTTTCTCGGGAACTACGATGAGTGCCGGGAGATCACCGGGACCCCCAACACCACAGTACCCCGTGTGGTCAATGGAGAGTACTGGGAGATGGCGTTCGCCTTTCCGGAAGAACTGGGCATGGTCATGGACGGCCGTGCATCCCTGTCAGTGAGTATGCGACTGTAACTTTCAGCATGGAGGAAGCTGTCGTGTCAGGCAGTTCTTAGAGGTGAGGTGAGGTGAGGTGAGGCAGGCAAGTCTTAGAGGTGAGGTGAGGTAAGGTGAGGTGAGGTGAGGTGAGGTGAGGTGAGGTGAGGTTTAACGTCGCGTCCAAGATTTATTGCACTCAAATAGCGACGTGCATGCACGTGTGTGTGTATGTGTGTGTGTGTGTGGATGCTTGTACTCGTCCGGACTGATGCCGATTTATAGTGCTAGATCACAGAGATACCATGCCGCAGTTTAAGATGAATACCCCACTCAGAAACAGTATACTGACTCCGAGCCGACCAGTCCTTGTTTTAGCCCCTTAATGCCGAGCCCCAGACAACAAGTAGCATCTTTTAACGTCTTTTGGTATGACGCGGCCGGGGATCTAACCCCGGACCTTCCGCTCTCCGGGCGGACGCTCTACCACTTGACCACAGAGGCGGTCGGCAGGTCTTAGGCCGGTGATAGCCCACAAAGATACAATACCGCATATTGCCTCCAGTTCTTCCCCGTAATGCTGAACGCCAGGCATGGTAACAGCAAGCACATTATTTTGACGTCTTTTGGTATGATGCGGCTCGGGATCGAACAACCGACCTTCCGGTCTTCGGGCAGACGCTCTATCCACAGTAGCAGCAGTAGTATAAGCAGCGGGAGTGATAACAGTAGTGCCACGGGTGCTAGTTTTAGCGACTATAATAGTAGTTATGGTTCTACCATGAGTATACAATGAAGCAGGAATTGTAATACTGAGTTAGTAAGTTTATTATCTTATTGCACTTTCATATTGCACTTTCATACTGCTGATTCATAGTATCAGCATCAGTAGTAGCCTATTCGTTAGTAGTCCTTGTAGTGGTATCAGCAGTAGTAGTAGCAGCCCTAGTCGTAGTAATAGTAGTAGTGGAAGGAGCAACAGCAGTAGTAGTACACAACAACCAGCTGGTAATTAAGTATGAGCAATAATGAAGCGCTCTACTCAGCAAAACGAAAGCGCTTACTTTCATCGGATACATCAAATGAAATCTATTATGTATACTATTTTGTCATTTGATGAAATATCAACATTTATAAGAGACAATAATCATTTCGTTGTGGCCTTACTTTTTGATCCACAGGCTAGGATGCCGGGTATCAAATGGGGCTTCTGTCTTCCTAGGTCCTGCAATGTCAGCACGGTTACACATGCAATATCCCTGGGTAAGTAGTGACTATTTTAGGGTTTCAATTATGACATTTAACACATTTTGACTGCATACTTCCTCATAACTAAGGTGTTGGTAATTATCGATCAGCCTGCATAAAGTATTTTGTTTTTGCGTATTCAGTTCCTTTAAAATGGCTTGGCTCTGAGCTGGTATCCGCTTCCCCAAGAACCGTTGATGATTGGAAAGAGGATGCAAGCGCCATCACAGCAATGTGAGTCAGCTTATTGATATGTATTGACGATGGGAAAGCTTATACACATTTAATACGAGGGTGACTGAAAAGTTCTGATCATATTATTGTTTGGGTTGTTTACTCATTATTTTTCGACATGGCCCCCACTACACACACATCTGCCGACGGAGCTGGAGCGCCTGGATTCCATTTGTCCTCCACAGCAGAAATGACCTCATCACCATTTGCAAAATGCTTGCCAGGCAGTAAATGGTCTCACCTTTAGGGACGCAATCCACCAGTAGAATTTGGAATCTCAGAAAACCAAAGCCATCACCTTGCCAGTTGACGCAACTGATATGCAGTCTTGGTGGAGAAGTCAAATGTTTCCACTTTCTTTGATGTTTTAAAGTCTATAGGCTGATAGTGGTGAACCCAAGTCTCATCCACAGTTTCAAATCCGTCAACACAACAAGCTGGACAACGAAACCTGGAGAGTTTCTGATTGGAGCCAGAAACCTTTGGACCCAACGTGCTAAAACATTTGTCATGGCCATATCATTCCACAGAATGTTCTCAACTCTTTGAGAGATACCTACTGTATTGACAATGTAACGCGTGGTGAGTCGTCGACCACCCATTATCAAATCATGTATTTTATCAACATTTCCAAGGGTGGTGGTAGTTGGAGGCCTTCCTGATCTTTGATCATCTTTGAGGCTCTCCTTTCTCCTCCACTACCCGCCTCCTCACAGTGGCAACGGAAAGAGTATCATCCCTAAAGTTGACAGCACATATGAATGGATACCTTTTTTCTTTTTTAAAAATCTTTTTTGGACATCATTTATTCATGTTTATTGTCAACGATTTTACATGGCCCTGTACATTGCCACGAATTACCTTTTAGCCCTTTCAGTTGGGAGATACTTGACAGTGCCATCGCCAATTCTATACATGTTCATCAACAAAGAACACCTACGCGTTGATGCCTGCATGAATATGCTGCATGGATGTATATTTGGTTCAAATGCAGACTGTAAGCATGGAAAGTACTGTACTTAAATCATGCGAACTATTAGGGGTCTACAATACACCCTTCGAGGTTACACTTAAACCTATTCATCCACTTCTGATACTCTATCTGGCATTACACACACTCTGATAATCTTATCATTACAACCAGTTATCAATAGATATGTAAAATGCAGGTTATGCCATGGCATTTGATGCACTAAACAAGCAATTTATTATGCGTTTATGTGACCATTAACCGAAAGGAAAGTATGCCACGCCCATGGCGGTCTTGTGCTTCCTGAAATGTAATTTCTTATTAAAAATAATACAACGTTAATCTTGCAGCATTATTTTAGTGCTGATTGCTTCGTTGTCGGTGATCGGAACGTGCTACGACGTGGTGTCTGGGTGGCTTGCCCTGCGGAGGGCAAAGAAATACGAGGAAGAGGATTTTTTGGACGGATTCAAAGCCTCGAGAGCTTTCGTCTCCGAGGACGGCAATCGTATCTGGCGCCTCAGTAGCGGCATCTCAATGACAGCAATGAACGGCAGGAGGGTGTACCCCCTGGATGAAGACGGGGGCCCTAACCACATGACCACAAGCATGAGTGGCGGGGACGGGGGGCACTTGCAGGAAGATGACATGGAGGAAGAGGAGCAACCACATATATCCAACACCGCTAACTATGACAGTAAGAATATCACATGTTTAAGTGAGTCTGTGAATTTGGTTTAACACCGCTTTTAAAGTACTATCACGGTTTGTCATTTGGATGTAGGAGACAAGCCCGAAGAAATACAGGTATAAGACGCTTCCACTTTGAAATCCATGAACACTGGTATGGTGCTGACAAACCCTGAACCATAATTAGGGTGACCCGGGATTCTTGCCCCCCTAAGGGACGCATCTCTGCAGCGACTGCAGTGACTGACTGGACCACACGCCCTTAACATGATAACGGCAGAATATGTGGGTCAACCTTTCGTTTTTCGTTTCTCAGTAGTGTTTGCGAATACAAGTAGCATGGTTGCTGCTGTTTGTTGTTTAACACTCCACTCTCCATATTTAGCTGTATGACAAGGGACCTGTTCTAGAAAGGGCTTCGACGACCGTTAGTCTATGTTAAAGTATGGGAGATACGATTGCTTCAGCGCCAAGATCGCTTTGTGTAACAGGGCAAGACTTGACAATATATTGAGTGCGGCCTTAAACCAACCAACAAGCAAACACACTTTATTTAATAAGTAACGTCCCTATTGCAAGACCATGGCATTATAAATATAATTTTTTTAAATATACACAACCAATACTCATGTGTCCCCTCCTCTGTTATTCGCATAGGCTTTGGTCGTAAGATGTTGTTGGCCTTCTCCATCCCAAGGAACGCGGAGAAGATACTCAGCACCGCATCAGGGGAGGGCAATCTTGGCTGCATTCACGGCATCCGGGTCCTCAGTATGGCCTGGGTCATCTTCGGACACAGTGCATCATGGTCACCCTTGAAAACAGGTAATGGTACAGAATTAGGTGCAAATCAGTGAGCGAGTTTTGTTTTGCTCTGCATTTGTTAATAGTCCAGCCTACTCATACAAAAGCCTACTAGACTAAAGCCACAAAAATATTTTTTAAGTCTCCATCTTAAAATTGCTATTTTGATAATTCACGCATTATCTTGAAAATTTGATTTTTATATCTGATAATGTCATCTCAAAGCAGAAAGTGAAGCCTTGGGAATTTTGAACTTTCAGCTTAGGAGCCTGGGATATTATGGAAAAAATAGATTATCTCAGAAAATGCTTGAATAAATAATAATTATGCTTCAGACTGAAAGATGAAATAGACTGCCACAAAAAGAAAACATTGTTGCAAGATTTCCTTTGTTAAAAAATATATATTTAGGCTCTAAAGTATATATAATACAATAAAATAGATCTAGTCTCCATACAACATCCTAGCCAACACTCACTCTTTTCTTCTGAACAACCATCCAACCCAATGTTTAAGCCAGAAAGCTACCTGAAATATAAAATAAATGTTGTCTATACAGTTGAGAACATTGTCGACTACATGGACAGGGCAAAGGACTTCACCATGCAGGCTTTGATAAACGCAACGCTCTCAGTGGATACCTTCTTTCTCCTGAGGTAAAGAACTGAATTTTGCAAACATAACTTGCAAAACTTGTACCATTGATGCTGATTATGGCATTGAGCTTTTTAACATTTTGAAACTGATATCGGTAATAAAATGACTCAACAAGCTTGTTTGAATCTAAAAAGGCGCTTGTGTTATATGCAAAAACAGAAGCACTCCATCCCCCATGCCCCAATCTTACCCATCAGAACCATGTATCAGGAACCATGTTGACTTTACCACATCAGCTATCAGTTGACCTCACACATGCCCACATCTTCCCGAGGCAAGGGAGATAACTGCCTTTGAAAGTCCAGTTTCCACACTTGCCGAACGTCATTTGGCTACAACTTACAAAGAATAATAATATCCTGTACGCCGCAATTCGCTCAAACCTATGATCGTGGGTTCGAATCCCGGTTCACCGTGATCATGTTCCTGTTTGTCAGCATCATACCCGTGCCCACGTGTGTCACCACGTGTGTCATCCCTTCTTGCTTTCATCCCATACTGATTCGCCGTCATGAAGCTGAAAGAAGCTCACCGACCCCTGTAACATATCACGCCAATGAACTGTGGAAATAGCGATATCTTACTATTTGTAAGCAAATTTTGTGTGTGTGCGTGTGTTGGTGGGTGGTGGTGGTGGGGGTGGGGTGGGGGGGGGGGGGGGGGGGGGGGGGGGGGTGGGGGGGGGGGGGGGGGGGGTGTGCTACCAAAAGGGCAGGACATGCTTATCCTTTTCGCAGATACACAATGTATATTATTATTATTATATTATAAGTAAATGGAGCGTGACAGTGTATCCATGGTGGTTTACCACCGATAACTGAATAGATTCATTTGCTTTCATTCTTGCCCTTTTCGCGAACACCTGGTGTCATCACTGATTTTTAGTGATCCATTCATATAATATGCCATTTACGCCCGATGGAATCTGCTTCGGCGGATAATCGAGACTGGTTATTCTCTGGCATTGACGTTTTACGTTTACACTTTACACAGCGGCTGTTTAGTGTGTTATCTGTTCCTGAAGGAGTCGAAGAAGTCACTGACAGGGAGGCCAACCGTAAAGCAAATGATATTATACTACGTTCACCGATACTGCAGGTAAACACAGTCTATACAACACAACAAGAACCGTCTTATGTACTCTTGGAACTAATACATGCATAAGGGATAGAGAAAAATGAGGCACTTTGAAAACACAATACCGATAATATACAAACTGAATAATTTTTAATGATTATGACTTTACTATTTTATTTATTTATCGGTGTCAAATTGGTATCCTGATACAAGAGGCCTCTCTTCAATTTTCATGGAATATTTAATAGTGCAATATACAGATTAACATGACAGTGCGTACATTCATGAAACTGTTTCATCAAAAGATCCATTTACATTAACATAAGACCTGTGAAGATTCCGCGGTAGAATAGACTGTCAGTAACCCATGCTTGCCGTAAAAGGTGACTATGCTTGTCGTAACAGAGAACTAACGGGATCGGGTGGTCAGGCTCGCTGACTTGGTTGATGCATGTCATTGTATCCCAATTGCGTGGATCGATGCTCATGATGTCAATCACTGGATTGTCTGGTCCAGACTCGATTATTTACAGACCGCCGTCACATAGCTGGAATATTGCTGAGTGCGGCGTTAAACAACCAACCAACCAACCAACATTAACATAAATATCATCCTACTTTTGTATGCAGCAACATCTTACGTGTGACTCAATCTTTGCTCTTTGTGATTTCTTTAGACTGACCCCTGTTTACATGATATTTATCATGGCGTATACCGGGCTAATGCGCCATATAGTGGAAGGACCAATATCATTCGATGCCGAACTAAAGGACGCAGACAACTGCCGCACACACTGGTGGACTAATCTACTGTACATAAATAACATCTACAAGAATGATGAAATGGTAACGTATGCATACATTGGATTATCTACCCGTGAAGATCCGGGGTAGAATAGGTCTTCAGCAACCTATGCTTGCCGTAAAAGGCGACTATGCTTGTCGTAAGAGGCGACTAACAGAATCGGGCCGTCAGGCTCGCTGACTTGGTTAATGCATGTCATCGATCCCAATTGCGTGGATCGATGCTCATGATATTAATCACTGGATTGTCTGGTCCAGACTCGATTATTTACAGACCGTCATATAGCTGGAATATTGCTGAGTGCGGCGTTAAACAAGCAACCAACCAACCAACCAACATTGATTATCGGATTGTTTGTTTCGAACTTAACTCTATGCCAATGTTGAAATAAAGGAGGTTGTTGAAATACAATGAATGCAAGACATAGGATTATTACTTAATGATAGACCCGTGAAGATCCGGGTTAGAATAGGTCTTCAGCAACCCATGCCTGCTGTAACGGGCGACTATGCTTATCATAAGAGGTATCTGGTATTTTTTATATTGGATCTGTGATATTTACTTTACTGTTCATGATTTTCATGAATGCTGGGGCGATTAACGGGGTCGAGTGGTCAGGCTCGCTGATTTGGTTGATGCATGTCAACGTATCCCAATTGCGTGGATCGATGCTGATGATGTCAATCACTGGATTGTCTGGTCCAGACTTGATTATTTACAGACCGTCGTCATATAGCTGGAATAATGCTGAGCGCGGCAGTATATGACGAACAAACACACAAAACATACTGATATATTTCCCTCAAAATTAATTGCAATATCGTGTGGCCCTTTTTGAAATGTGCTTTTAAAATGGTTATATTTTAATTTTAATTGAGCAGTTAAATTTTACTTACTTTACATGTTTGAAATGCATTTAAGAAATATAGAAATCAAAACTGAATGTTCCCGCAGTTAGCAAATATACGTGTTTTGTTTTCCAGAGGTAATTTTTTACTTGAAACGTCAGATACCTTGATCAGCTCAAAAGTTATGATGTTTCCAAAAAACAAACATTTTGCAGTGTCTCGGATGGTCCTGGTTTTTGGCCAATGATATGCAGTTCTACGTTGTGGCCCCTTTGGCACTCCTTCCAATCGCTTTTGGGTAAGAACTTTCAAATTAGTAAAGAGTTGATGAAGGGGAATAAAATGTTCAAGATATTTCCATAGTACAACAGATGATTGTATGTACGTCGTGACGGCGTGTTGTACCGTACATGATTGAAATTCAAAATACATTTAATATTAAATGTGCACATTTCCCCGTACTATTTTACTAAGCATTCCATGTCGATGTGGACGTTCTTTTGATCAGTAGTTTATATTTAACACGTCAATTACAAGTGAATTTTAAATGTATAAGGCCCATCTTTATGTAGGAACACGGAAAAGAATTTTGAAAGATAAGGGACATTTTTTTATAGACTTGTATTATTATTGTATCGACAGGATAACATTGATTAATTTTGTACCATGTTTTCATATGTAAACAAATACAATTGTGTTTTATTCCCATACTATATTGTTCCCAGACTTGATGCCCTGGGAATTATTGTCATGTCTGCGTTCCTGGTGATCCATATATCGACATACGGATATTATGAATATCATCTCAAAGGAGCAACAATGCTGCTGTAAGTGAAACTGTTGATATCATAATTTGTTTTGTCCATCGCTGTTTTGGACCCGTGAAGATCCGGGGTAGAATAGATCTTCAGCAACCCATGCTTGCCGTAAAACGCGACTATGCTTGTTGTAAAAGGCGACTAACGGGATCGGGTGGTCAGGCTCGCTGACTTGGTTAATGCATGTCATCGATACAAATTTCGTGGATCGATGCTCATGATATTAATCACTGAATTGTCTGGTCCATACTCGATTATATACAGACCGCCGTTATAAAGCTGGAGTATTGCTGAGTGCGGCGTTAAACAACAAACCAACCAACCATGGTAGTTCGAAAAGATGACAAGGTCACTCGAGAATATCAGTTTGACTGAACTTACTGACCTATCGACTCTCTTTGGGGAAACGATCCGTATGAATATGGAAAGGGTTTTATCGCTTTTATTTATTATTTTTTGTGTGTGCTAGAGTGGTTCGATGTTGAAACTATCCATCAATGGTTTGCTTGTACCAATGACCAAACCCGTCGTGAAGTCTGTTACTATTGTTTGCTTAATATCCAGAGCATTAACGTTTTACTCCATTGTTGTATACATTCGCTTTAAACAGGAATCAGCCGGACTACTTCAAGTATATATACTTCGTGCCCTGGTGTAGAGTTGGAGTGTATGGAATTGGTCTGTTCCTTGGCTACCTTCTCCATAAAACCAAGTGCAAAGCCAAGATACCAAGGGTGAGAGAGATTATCATCAACATCATTTTCATGACCATACTAAATCATTAAGACCGCCTCCGTGGTCAAGTGGATAGAGCACATGAACGGAGAAAGGAAGGTCGATGGATCCGATCCACGGCCTCGTCATTTTAAAAGAAGTTAAAAGATGGCATTACGGAGCTAAGCTAAAACAAGAACTGGTCCGATCGGAGTCAGTATACTGTGCCTGAGTGGGTAGTTCATTAAAACTGCGCACTCTCTATCTCTCACACTTATTCTACCCCAGAATCTTCACGGGTCGAAATATTCTTGGGAATGGCATGTTCCTCATCAGAGGAATCATCTAAAGCACGTTTGTTTTTTTTTGTTTGATTGAGCCATGGTGAAGTTGTATATATATCACCATCCCAGCTCCCCACCCACCATGGGACCCGTGAAGATTTCCGGGTAGAATAGATCTTCAGCAACCCATGCTTGCCGTAAAAGGCGACTATGCTTCTCGTAAAAGGCGACTAACGGGATCGGGTGGTCAGGCCCGCTGACTTTGTTGATGCATGTCATCGATCCCAATTGCGTGGATCGATGCTCATGATATTAATCACTGGATTGTCTGGTCCAGACTCGATTATTTACAGACCGCCATCATATAGCTGGAATATTGCTGAGTGTGGCGTTAAACAACAAACAAACCATCCAACCCACCCACCATGGGGTATCACAAGGATACTCACAAGCCAGTGGATTTCCAACTGGCAGCACCAAGGATACTGTGATGGTATACTGAAGTACATTAACGAAAATTCAATTAATCAACCAGATTGGCCCATGAGCCACCGCCTTCTGGGCATACGACTCTAGGCAATTTATATTTTCCACAATCAAAATACGATGACATGCATCAACCAAGTCAGCGAGCCTGACCACCCGATCCTGTAAGTCGCCTTTTACGACAAGCATAGTCGCTTTTTATGGCAAGCATGGGTTGCTGAAGACCTATTCTAACATCGGAATCTTGCCAATGTATTCAATGTTCTGAATTCAAAAATGGGAATGGTATCTTTAAATGATGGTAGAAACATACTCAAATATATTCTTCTTGAAGGCGACTCATGCCATGTCACTAATATGGGATGTTTCTTCCATTTCGGCAACAGTTCGCCCTTGTCCTTGGATGGCAGATCGCCCTGGTTATTGGCCTGATGTGCACATATTACCCCTACAGTGACTGGAAGGATGGCATTCTTGACTGGGATCTTAACACGTTAATCACGTTTACAACCCTTTCCAGACCGGGATGGGCGGTGTTCGTGTCATGGATTATATTTGTGTGTTGCACAGGCAATGGCGGTGAGTATCCATAATACCAGTACTATTGTTTGTCCTGTGCATGGTGCTTCGCTATATTTGAAAAGGGTATCTTTGTTTAGTTGCCACGTTTCGCCTTGATATCGACGAAACGTCCGAACTAGTTAAATGTTGCGTTTAAATCTCATCTGATCTAAGACACAATGACGATACCCTAGTTTCACCTTTGAAATGAGCAAATATATAACGTCAAAGCTAGAGGATAACAGTCTCGATTATCTAACAAATAAATTCCATTGGTCATAAAGGCAAAATGGTGCTGAAAATTATATAAATGGGTCACAGGAAATCAGGGATGGCACCAGGTGTTCGCGAATAGGGTAAGCATGTCATGCTCTGCGGGTACGTTTCCCCTTTATCAGCGGCTCGCGAAGATCCGGGGTAGAATAGGTCTTCAGCAACCCATGCTTGCCGTAAAAGGCGTCCATGCTTGTAAGAGGCAACTAACGGGATCGGGTGGTCAGGCTCGCTGACTTGGTCGATGCATGTCATCGATCCTAATGGCGTGGATCGATGCTCATGATGTCAATCACTGGATTGTCTGGTCCAGACTCGATCATTTACAGACCGCCGTCATATAGCTGGAATATTGCTGAGTGCTGCGTTAAACAACAAACCAACCAACCAACCCTTTTTTCAGCTCGAACCCAAAGGCTATTTTCTACTTGAACTTGGGTAGTGTGCAAAGACAACAGATATGCTTTGAATCTGATATGTACATAGTGTTTATTGTAAGAAACTTTTAATATATATTCCATACGTTTGCCGTGACAACATTTAAGTGAGCACTTTTGAGAAACTGTGTGTCAATAACTTGTCATTATGTGTCCCCAGGTGTGGTCAATAGGATATTGTCCTGGGGGGCATGGATGCCCATGGGAAAACTTACCTACTGTGCCTATCTCATCCACCCTGCACTTTTATCATACACGGAGTTCTCAACGAGGACACTGGTATATAACAACGTGATACAGATCGTGAGTAGCAGTCTTGTAACCTAGGGAAAGTTTTCTTACCTGAATGGTAATTCTTGGATTTCTTTAAAAAAGTAACACAATTTGTTGCCGGAAATGCTGGAAAACTAATTTTGTCTCCATTTGTCGCTGGATATACCGGATTCTCTGAAACAAATGTGCTGTGAAGAAATTAAGAATTGTTCGGCTCTCCCTTTCAGAGAGAAACAAGTATGTCTCGAAGCAGAGGCCGAAAAACTGTTTAGTGTCTGACATGATTCACTAATGTTTCATGGTTTGTCCATTACCGTACTGACCCGTGAAGATTCCGGGGTAGAATAGGTCTTCAGCAACCCATGCTTGCCGTAAAAGGTGACTATGCTTGTCGTAAAAGGCGACTAACGGGATCGGGTGGTCAGGCTCGCTGACTTGGTTGATTCATGTCATCGATACCAATTGCGTGGATCGATGCTCATGATATCAATCACTGGATTGTCTGGCCCAGACTCGATTATTTACAGACCGCCGTCATATAGTTGGAATATTGCTGAGTGTGGCGTTAAACAACAAACCAACCAACCATTGTCGTACTACCGAGAAATAATGAAAATGAGTGCGCATTGTTGGTGATGTTACCAAATAAACATTTACCCTTCAAACGATTTCAAACATGTAAGATATACTCTATGTTTTGAGGTCCTGCTGATAATGTTCCGAGTTATATATGACATACATGATTCAGGAACTATAAAGCTATTCTCTGTAGCTTAGCGTTTGTTTGTTGTTTAACGCCGCACTTAGCAATATTCCAGCTATATGACGGCGGTCTGAAAATAATCGAGTTTTGACCAGACGATCCAGTGATTGACATCATGAACATCAATCCACGCAATTGGGATACGATGACATGCATCAAACAAGTCAGCGAGCCTGACCACCCGATCCTGTTAGTCGCCTCTTACGTCAAGCATAGTCGCCTCTTACGACAAGCATAGTCGCCTCTTACGACAAGCATGGGTTGCTGAAGACCTATTCCAACCCGGAACTTCACGGGTTGGAATAGCTTAAAATGAGATACCAACATGACATGTGTTGTCATTTAAAGCAGTTTGTTTACCGAAACGTAGAACACAATTATATATGACGTTAATATGTATTTGTGCTTCCTAACAGAGTTACCATTTTATTGGGACATTCGCTGTGGCATACGCCCTGGCTTTCATCCTGTGTGTGTTTGTGGAGTCGCCTTGTCTGGGACTGGAGAAAGCTGTGTTGGCCAAGATGAAGCTGAAAAAAAGATAAGGGGCTGTGATTCTGTGAATTGTTTGTGAACTTAATGCGTTCATGGCTCCAGGAGAGGACATTGTGTTTTCAGCGTTGGAAGGCTATTCGCTTTCAGTTCAATTGCCTTTTTTGATATGCAACACTGACTGATTTAGTTCAATACTTCTTCATAGTGAATATTTATACCTGATGTGAACTATATGGGTTTTACCTTGATAGCAAAGCCAAAGGATGAATATTATTTTACACCGCGTTCAGCAGTACCACATCAAAATCGCAAAATAGGCTTCACGCATATGTTGGCCACGCATTCTGAGCTTTGGCCTCTCCAGCGAACGCTTTAACCACTGGGCTACCCCACCGCCCTTGTACCACAGGAATTCCTTCTGGGGAGAAATCATTAACGAAATTGCTCTTAACCCTTCAGCTTTTGTTTAAGTTCATTAAATGGCTTGACTGTTGATTCATACAGAATTCTACTTCTCACTGTCAGAAGTTTCTTAGTCAGATAGTTTTACGTTTTTTATTCATGTTTCATTGTACAAAGGAGGGGCGGTCGGGTAGCCTAGTGGTTAAAGCGTTAACACGTCACGCCGAAGACCCGGGTTCGATTCCCGACATGGATACAATGTGTGAAGCCCATTTCTTGTGTCCCCCGCCGTGATATTGCTGGAATAGTTCTAAAAGCTGCGTAAAACCATACTCACTCACTCACTCATTGTACAAAGGATGTGAATATGACCATAGGCGTTCATTCTGAGCATAAACATGTACATATTACAACACGTTTATTTGCATGATTAGGTATATCAGTTGTGTAGCGTTGGAGATAACACAAACATTTGTAGATGCTACCTGAATAAACAGATATCCCTTTTACTTGGTTGATTTAATCTCACAAATGAAAGTGTTCCTTTCTTCACGATAATAACAGTAATTAAAAATAAATGTTTAAATAAAACAATTTCCTTAAGAAATATCCACCTGCTTGATGGCGGTGTTAATATCTACACGTCGCATTCATTGTACTAAAGTTGTATATCCATAGAACTATCTCCCCTGTTCATCGCACCGACTTCTAAATACAATAGTTCGAGATAAGAGGAGTCTCACTTTGAGATGGATTGTTTGTTTAACGCCACACATAACAAACGTCTACAAATTATCAGCGAATTATTCTTGGGCGACTAAATGACGCAACTCCACATAGCGAATTGCGGCGCCTTAGATGACTGGGTCTATTTATTTTTTTAAATTGTAAATTCAGCCTTTTCATAGTCGCCTGGCTCGGCAAGCATGGGTTGCTATGAGTGAGTGCAGCGTGAGGTCACTTTTAACAAAAGGCAAGCTTTTCACTGTGGCTGACAACAAGAATGAGCATTCTGAGTGGTACCCTCCCAATCCCCAACCAAGAAACTCACTCACTCATGCACGCACGTACATAAATCTGGAAGTCATGGCATCACATGAGCAGACACCTGCTGGTGGTTAACACTGAGTTGTCCGTTTCGATGAGGTTTTTGAATGGCGATTGCCACATTGGGTATATGTGAGCTTGTTTGTTGCTTAATCCCGCACTCAGCAATATTCAAGCTATATGACGGCGGTATGTAAATGATCGAGTCTGGACCAGAAAACCCAGTGATTGACATCATGAGCATCAATCCACGCAATTGGGAAACGATGATATGCATCAACCAAGTCAGCGAGCATAACCACCCGATCCCGTAAGTCGCCTCTTACGACGAGCACAGTCGCCTTTTACGGCAAGCATGGGTCGCTGAAGACCTATTCTAACCAGGGTCTTCACGACTCCCTTTGGTCTATTTGTGAAAGTGGCAGAGAAAAAGAAACTGAACTTGTTTCTGCCCAGAACGGACATGCTGTCGCAAATTATATCAGGGTTGGACATGTGAGATATCTCCCGTATCGCGGGCCTGATGCCCTTTGGACGTGATGTAGCGGTCTCGGATTGATGAAACGGGCTTACAGTCGTCCTCCTGGAACTGTAAAGTACGTTTATAACGAACACGCCTATAACGAACTGACGGATATAAAGAATTTATTTTTTTGTTACACATGGGAGGGAAGTCACGATGGAACTACATCGATGACAAGTTCAAACATCAAGAATTATTAACGATATTATCGATAGACGCACTTAATGAATGAAGCTATAGTTAATCATAAGAGTTTGCTTTCGTTTTAAGCCAGATACGTCTTGTTCAAATAGACAAGTGAGTATCTTCAAAATATCTTCGTAAAATGTATTTTTGACATTGATCAAAATCGCCAATATACTTGTCGTGATATTAGCACCCGGCGAATAGACCAGGCCTTAACGGCCTATGTCGAGTAAGGAAAGGAATATCTTATAAGAAGGTAAGTGTATAAATATACTATGTCAGCACAACTGCTGGACCCCTTGAGTGAGTGAGTTAAAATTTAAAGACACATCGACAGTATTTCAGCCATATCGTGACAAGAATAAATTAGACATTAAATCAATATAAAAAACGTTTTCAGATCTGTCAACGATAGACAGCATGACAAATAAACTAATGTCCAAAAGAATGCATACCAAGAGTTTGAAAGACTGAAATAAAAAAACATGTAGTTCTCTAAGTATGTATGTATTAATTTTCATTAGAGTTGTGTTTTACAATATGTTTCAGCTATATGACTGCGGTCTGTAAATAATCGAATCTGGACCAGACAATCCAGTGATTGACAGCATGAACATCGATCCACGCAATTGGGATACGATGACATGCATCAACCAAGTCAGCGGTCCTGACCACCCGATCCCGTTAGTCGCCTCTTACGACAAGCATAGTCGCCTTTTACGGCAAGAATGGGTTGCTGAAGACCTATTTTACCCCGGATCTTCATTTATATTTATAGCTGATTACGTTCAAAATTATCAACACTTTTAATATTGATTATGTACACATTTGGGTATGTACACGATAGGCAATGTGTAGTTATCTTTCGTTTGTTTGTTGTTTAACGCCCAGTTATCGCCAAAGTGTTCGTGTTATTTCTGACATATTCCGTGTACAAAGTTGACTGTACCAATAACTTAAATGTTTGTGAAACTATGGGCAAATGCGCTGACCGTGAAATAAGATTCAGTTGATTTTTGTTATAACGCTACGATAGGGAATCAAAACAGTGGAAACTTGCCCGTCTGCTTACTGTACCAGTTATCGCTACCGTCTTTACAGCACGTGCCACGTGATCACGTGCACCGCTTCAGTTTTACAAATTACATTTTTTAGTATCTCGTGTATCGCACTCAATTTTTATATTCATTGAAATGACTAAGAAATGCTATTATCAATTTGTCGTCTGCAAACTGACAAAAAACAATATTTCCCCAAATTCGATCTACACATGCTTATCCTTAACACTATGTACTATGGAAGATCCGGGGTTGAATAGGTATTCAGAAGCCATGCTTGCCGTGACAGGCGATAATCTTGTCGTAGGAGGCGACCAACGGGATCGGGTGGTCAGGCTCGCTGACTTGGTTGATGCATGTCATCGATCCAAATTGCGTGGATCGATGCTCATGATATTAATCACTGGATGGTCTGGTCCAGACTCGATTATGTACAGACCGCAGTCATATAGCTGGAACATATTGTAAAACACAACTGTAATGAAAATTAACACATACATACTTTCTACATGCTTTTGATTTCCGTTCAGTCTTTCAAACTCTTGGTATGCATTCTTTTGGACATTAGTTTAGTTGTCATACCTTTCAATACGTTCAGGACCCGTGAAGATTCCGGGGTAGGATAGGTCTTCAGCAACCCATACTTGCCGTAAAAGGCGACTATGCTTGTCGTAAAAGGCGACTAACGGGATCGGGTGGTCAGGCTCGCTGACTTGGTTGATACATGTCATCGATCCAAATTGCGTGGATCGATGCTCATGATATTAATCACTGGACTGCTGGTCCAGACTCGATTATTTACAGACCGCCGTCATATAGCTGGAATATTGCTGAGTGCGGCGTTAAACAACAAACCAACCAACCAACCAATACGTTCAGATCCGTGAAGATTCCGGGGTGGAATAGGTCTTCAGCAACCCATACTTGCCGTAAAAGGCGACTATGCTTGTCGTAAAAGGCGACTAACGGGATCGGGTGGTCAGGCTCGCTGACTTGGTTGATACATGTCATCGTATCTCAATTGCGTGGATCGATGTTCATGCTGTCAATCACTGGAGTGTCTGGTCCAGACTTGATTATTTACAGACCGCCGTCATATAGCTGGAATATTGCTGAGTGCTGCCTTAAACAACAAACCAACCAACCAACCCTTTTTTTCAGCTCGAACCCAAAGGCTATTTACTACTTGAACTTGGGTAGTGTGCAAAGACAACAGATATGCTTTGAATCTGATATGTACATAGTGTTTATTGTAAGAAACTTTGTGCGGCGTTAAACAACAAACAAACAAACAAACAAACAATACGTTCAGCTGCATAATGCTACATAAATGAAAATGATCGACGCCGTATATATATATAAATTTAGTGTCTTTGGAACAGTGCAAGTATTTGTTTCCCGTATCCACATCTTTTCACATGTGCCAGATCCGTGAAGATCCGGGGTAGAATATGCCTATAGCAATCCATGCTTGCTGTAAAAGGCGACTATGCTTGTAAGAGGCGACTAACAGGATCGGGCATGTCAATAACTGGATTGTCTGGTCTGGGCTCGATTATTTGCCGTCCTACAGCTGGAATATTGCTGAGTGGGGCGTTAAACAACAAACAAACAAACAAATCATAGCATCACGAACGACATTTTGAAAACAAACGCAAACAGGTGCTGTCGGATCACATGTATGTCAAATGAAATCAGATACAAGTAAAAGAATATAAGTATATATAATGAACGGTTAAAACAAAAATAGGATTTTCTCAGAAGTATTTCCTCTATTGCTCTCTCATTACAGTAAAAACTATTTTTATCCCCCGCCCCAAGGAATTTAAGTAATTTTTTATTTTTTTACGTTTCCATGGCAACAAGTTGGACTTAGGTTCTATAAGGGTGGTGTTCGTTTCCCGGAGCTTAACTAAAAAACCGTGAAATACTTATAACAAATAAACTGTTAGATATTTCCTTGCCAAACATTGCATGTCTATGTATAAAGCACATACTGAACTGGTGCCATTTGATATTAAGGAGTTTTAAAAATGTTTATTTTAGAATTTCCATTGCAGCTATTTTGACATGGGCTAAGAGAAATGTTGAGTCAGTTACCTGATTTTGACCATAACGTGTTAAAATGGGCGGGGGATATAGATGACTTCGTTGACTATACGCTTGTTTATTTCTAGCCTCATGTATCATTTATTGGACGTTTATAAAATAATTTCAAAATATTGGTGACAGAATGACAATTAGCATTTACTATTTCATAAAACGTATTCAATAATACCTAGGTCCTCTTACTTATCTCCCACACCGATAATATAATATTAATAAAAGCCGTATGTTATATTGACTAAATGAGGTATGGCGTAAATAATGTTCACTTTGGAAAGGTGATAATTTGGTTTTAAATTGTATTGTTCCTAAGAATACGAACACAACAACATTCCGTGAGGTTAACGTACATCATCCTTTGTCATGCCTACTTCTTGAGGCTTAGTCTGGTAAGGACCACCTTCTCCAGACCGAGGCACGGAGACTCCACCAACACACAGGTGATGAAAGACAGGGCGTAGGAGACGGCAAATGTCCCTATGTAGCGGTAGCTCTGTAAAAAGACAAATTGGTTGTATGAATGGGTCTATGCATGGCCACTATCACAAAAACAACTAAAACTTTAACAACTGAAATAATGACATTGTTA